ATTTGGTTAAATATTTAAAAAGCTAATAAAAGGGACAAGTGCGGCCACATTATGGGTTGACATTTAGTAACGTGAGATACTTTATGTTATTCAATTTATTTCTGTAACCAACAATAAATCTTATCTATCGAAAATCAATTTGGAGCGAAGTTCGGTTATACATGTTTTAAAAGGCCGTAAAATATTCGATACTCGTCAAAATTTGATTTCACACTGTTTTTCTGTCTACTAAGTAGGAATTGTAATAACCACCCATTTAATTGTCTAGAATATCTTGGTAACTACCAATTAAAAATTAATAAAAATAAAATTAATTAAAAATTAATTAAAATAAATTTACTACGTACATTGTACATATTTTGATTTTGAATTTTGTTTTAATATAAAATCTTAAGCAAATGATGCAGTTATAATTTTTAAAATTTTGTAATTGATTTCTACATACATTGTTTCTGATATATCAGAATAAGGTGTACGATGAAATATACAATGTTTTCGGTGACGGTGACTATATAATTACCATGAAAGATACCGCCCGACTAGTGTATTTAGAACAAGTGTTAAAGGAAACAATACGAATGTACCCACCTATACCAATAATTATCAGAGAAATTCAGGAAGACATTCAAATTTGTGAGTACTTACGTAATATTTTGTTTGTGTCATATCGATTTATTTCACATTTTAATAAAGAAATATATATTTAATACGTAATATATAGGTTGAAAAATCAAGCGTAAGATAATGATTAACTCGAAAAGTAAAAACTTATTTTCGAAATTGGCTTCATAAAAAAATTTAAGTGAAAAGAATCTTTACTTTTTTAAATTTCAATTTAAAAATATCTACGATGAAAAATATCCCTTATGGAAAATATTCAATAACTTCCTTATTTTTAGAAAATTTAAAATTGCAGAACTGGTTGTTTCTTATATGATTTCTAAAACAAATTTCGAAAAAAGTTTATACTCTCCGAGGTAAAGAGTGCCCTGCGTTAGATAGATCACCTTGTATATCAAAACAAATATTAACATTTAATAAAGGAATGCATAAAATATATGATATT